GATCAGGGATCAATGGGATCAATGGGATCAATGGGATCAGCGCGACGGCGCCCGCCAGTGCCAGCAGGTACGGGGGCATGGGATTTATGGGATCAATGGGATCTATGGGATCAATGGGATCAATGGGATCAGCGCGACGGCGCCCGCCAGTGCCAGCAGGTACGGGGGCATGGGATTTATGGGATCAATGGGATCAATGGGATCAGCGCGATGGCACCCGCCAGTGCCAGCAGGTACGGGCTCAGATAGAGGATTTATGGGATCAGGGATTTATGGGATCGATGGGATCAGTGGGATCAGTGTGATGGTGCCCGCCAGTGCCAGCAGGTACGGGGATTTTCCCCGTTTTTCCCATTTTCCTGTTTTTCCCATTTTTCCCGTTTTTCCCCATTCAGGCGCGGAGGCGGAGTGGCAGCAGAACTCCCAGCAGTCACTCCCATTTTTCCCATTTTCCTGTTTTCCCCATTTTCCCGTTTTTCCCATTTTTCCCATTTTCCCCGTTTTTTCCCCCCGTCCAGGCGCTGGAGGCGGAGCGGCAGCGGAACTCCCAGCAGTCATTCCTGTTTTTCCCATTTTCCCATTTTTCCCGTTTTCCCCGTTTTCCCCCATCCAGGCGCTGGAGGCGTAGCGGCAGCGGAACTTGCAGCAGTCACTCCCATTTTTCCTGTTTTTCCCATTTTTCCCATTTTTCCCCATTTTTTCCCCCGTCCAGGCGCTGGAGGCGGAGCGGCAGCGGAACTCCCAGCAGTCACTCCTGTTTTCCCCATTTTCCCATTTTCCCCGTTTTTTCTCCCGTTCCAGGCGCTGGAGGCGGAGTGGCAGCGGAACTTGCAGCAGTCACTCCTGTTTTCCCCATTTTCCCCGTTTTTTCCCCCGTCCAGGCGCTGGAGGCGGAGCGGCAGCGGAACTCCCAGCAGTCACTCCTGTTTTCCCCATTTTCCCATTTTCCCCGTTTTTCTCCCCATCCAGGCGCTGGAGTTGGAGCGGCAGCGAAACTCCCAGCAGTCACTCCCATTTTCCCCGTTTCTCCCATTTTCCCATTTTTCCCATTTTCCCCGTTTCTCTCCACCCAGGCGCTGGAGTTGGAGCGGCAGCGGAACTCCCAGCAGTCACTCCCATTTTTCCCGTTTTTCCCATTTTTCCCATTTTCCCCGTTTCTCCCCATTCCAGGCGCTGGAGTTGGAGCGGCAGCGAAACTCCCAGCAGTCACTCCCATTTTCCCCGTTTCTCCCATTTTCCCATTTTCCCATTTTCCCCGTTTCTCTCCATCCAGGCGCTGGAGTTGGAGC